TAAATAATTTAAATTGAAATCTTTAAAATTCTCTTCATTTGTAATCTTTAGTTTTGTAATGTTGTCTGGGGTGGTTATTGAAATAATAACTAGAATGGCAACTTACAAAATATAAGGGTTTATTTTAAACAAGAACAATACAAGTAGATATTTACAAGTTCGTCTGAAGCTGGAAAAAAAGCCTCACCGAGACCAATACCATAGATGCTTATATTCCTATTGGAACAGTCCATTTAATAGAGGTGTATCAGTTCTTTGTATACTGAGGTTTATCAGTTCATTCCCTACAACACTTAGGATGGGCAGTAATATTTATCCTGAGAATATATTTAATATATCTTATGCATTTCTGGTGGTGTATCAAACATTGGTTAAGTAAGTCATTTGTCTATACCATGCATGTTGTAGTTGGTCATAACCAATTCTTCTTCTAATTTAGTAATAGTGTCCTGTACTTAATAGATATTTTAAGGTTAATTTTGGAGTGTCTTTCAAACTCTTAAATTTTTCATAGATATCGTCGATATAATTGTAAAATAAATGTCCATTATTTGTTTAGGATTAAGAAATTATTTTGTGTAAGATTGAATAAAATAATAATTTAGTCATTAACAAGGAATTTGGGGTTAAAATTTACAAGCCACCATATTCAATTACACAATGAGTAACATCTAACTAAATGTACTAAAATATATTTCATCAGAAAATTCACAACTTAGTAATATATACTCCAACTAAAACATAGGCATAGTTTGACTTTACTTTCTTGGTCAACTGTGTATTAGTAGATGAATACTAAGCAGGGGACAGTAACATGCAAAGTTTGTGTTGTGTTGGAAACCTACCACCCCTCTTGAAGATGAACTTGTCTGCGAACAAAGACGTTAAATAGTGGCATGTCAGAAAACAGAGGGAGCAGTGCTTAGCTGAGCTAGTTATTGACTACTCAGGCGATTTCTGTACCTTTTTACCAACCTATTAAAACCCTTTTTATTGTTACGTGTTATTTGGCATTTGTCTCTACTAACCCCAAATCAACATCATAACAGTTTGCATTCCCTTACTGAATGTTTTTTTCATTTAAAACAAGTGTAAAATATTATTGTCACAACTTGGTAAGGGGGTCTGTAATAACAATGACAATGCAGGTGACTTCTGTCTGCAGAAGCGATATTCCTGCTTTTTATTCACATATACACAATATAGCCGACATGGTACTTCCGTGTCAGAACAATTGCGAAAATAGTGCTTTCATTTCCTTAGTTTGTGTGTGATTTAAAGAGTTAATCAATAAGTCTATACAAAGAATAAAAGTCAGTATTAAAATTACCTGCTTTATCAAGCACACTTCTTTGGTAATGTCTCACCTCTTTGATGAATTAACATATGCTAATGGCACTATGATATTATCATGGCATTTACAAATCTAAACTTGACTTTTAGGATTTGAGTTCCAAATTATGCTGGAAATTAACTTATATTTATTGATATACGACAAACATAGTTTGTCTTTGAAACAATTATAATAAATTTAAAAAAATGATTTTTTTAAAATTCTTAGTTTAATATATTTTATTACTCCAAATGTTATTTTTACTGGATGTCCATGTTTGAGTAGATGCTCTGTTTTTTAAACAGTGTTTAGGAGAAACCAAAGGGGTGCAAATTTAAAACCTGTCAGAGAGCATACTTTTTCTTTATTAAGTCACTTGATGATATTCAGTAACCCCCCCCCCCACGAGGGCATCATGTGGCACAAGGCCTTTTTAACGTGGGATCTCTGAGCATGTGGGCTCAGCCAAAAATATGCCCATTGAACCCGTATAAACAGGTTCAGGGTTGGTTTACCTCCCCGAAAGAGAATCCGCTCTTCGACGTAGCCCCTTTTGGGTTCCTCCCTGCCCGAAGGCAGAGAGTTCAACCGATCAGCCAGTCGACTGACAACACTAGTAGATGTAATTCACACTTTTTAAAAGAACAGGACATCTACTCAAACATGGGTATCCACTAAAATTAAGATTTGGAGTAATAAGAAACAATGTCAGATTAAAAATAAAATCCATTAATTCCTTAGAAATTAACATATTTTCAATATATAATTTCATAATCATATATAAAAAAGTTGCTCTGTAAAAAAGTGTGTTTTTAACAAGCCCCACCCCTTCCTGTTCCTATATATTAAATAAAGCTTTTTAATGTCAATAATATTTAAGTGACAAGGAAGTCATTAACAAAAAAGGTACTTATACTTACAATCAGAAAGAGACAGTTGAAATTTCTGGGACAGATAATAAGGAAAGAGGGCTTGGAGAATTTGACACTCACAGGATATACTGAAGGCAAGAGTGACAGATGAAAAATTGAGTAATCTACCTAGCACACTTGTATAAATGATTGGCAGAACACAGCCTAGTGAAGACAATAGAAGCCAGGGTAAACAATGAGTAAAATACTTAATGATTTCATGTAAATGGATGGCAAAATAGGGACAAAGAGGAATGGTAAAGGGTCAAAGATTATTTATAGCAACTAAAAAAGGAAGTTGTGGAAAGCCATGATCATTTATATCCTGAAAGGACTAGGCACATAAAAGAGGAGGGGGACTCTCAGCAAAAATACACACACATAATGAATATATTTTACTGAATATTACACAGTTTGCTTCTGACTCAGATAAAATCATGAACAAAATGTTTGTCAATCTTAAAACTTATCTTCATAATTTGATGAATGATCCATCTATAAACAATCAGGAATTGATTATATAAAATCAGAGTACTTACTTGAGCAAGCTCAATTCAGAAATGTTGTGACTTTAATCCACACTGGGTGACCTACTCTGGCTTTGCTTGATCTTACTGAACAGTCATTCGTATAAAACCTGAAATTAAAATGAATCATATCTCATTTTTTCCATCATTAATAGGAAAAAATACCTCTCTTCAAGCAGTTGACCGACTCTTTGCAATATTATACAACAAATTTCATGTTTTTTTTATTTTATTTTAGTAATAATGCCTAAATGCTAATTTCCAAATATAACCACCTGTTAGAATGTATAGCTAATTCCTATTGCAGACACCTGCTCAGACATATATTTCTTTGACGCTCACAGAACCAAACTGCAATGATTCTGAGCAAACCTTAGTTACAGTTTCTGGGGAAGAGTGTAAAATCTGGCATGACTAGTAGTTAAACAAAGCCAGTAGGCTCAAACCCTTGACCACAATGATTTTTACTTTATGTTAGCACTACCATTAACAGCTTCTGAATATTTTTGTCTTCCCATTTTCACTCACAAGAATTGAGTCAACCTGTGGTAGGCTTTTGGGGCATTTCCTAACAGTGCTGTATCACCCCAGGCCAATATTATCAATGTCACCTCCTTAAACAATGACCTTGATAATGTTTCAACCTGGGTATCATGGTTGGAATGCTAACATTGTAACCCCTCAGCCATATATCAGGCACCTCATTAAAAGAGCAAGCCAGTCTTGCAAACCATTACAATTGTGATGACCTTGATCCAACCTAAGTGTCCTAAACTTGTGCCAGAATAATTTAAGCTAAGTAAATAAATACAGCATTGTGGATATTATTAAATAGATAATTTTTAACTAAAAGTAACACTAACTTCTTGGTCAATGAATGATGAATGTTTCTTGTATGGAAATGGCCAATTTTACTTTATTTACATTTGGAGATGTGCAGGTTGTATAATGGTTAGTGGATTGGAACAGGAAACTGGTGAGCTAAATTCAAATTTTCAACTGAGTTTGCTTTTGCACAATGTCCTTGGAAAAGCTATGAGTCCATTTCTTCTTTTCTCCCAGCTATAGGTTAAATAGCAAGATAAATTGTGTTCTTTAGCCATGGTTGGCAACCAGTCTAGAAGAAGGAAAATTGACTTCAAAACAGCATGTAACCTTGGCATATCACATACTATACAGCCAATGACAAAGTCATGGTGTTCACAATGACTATATTGACTGCATTCAACCTACAACTGTGTCAATGTATTATTATTATTATTTACATTCAGACAAATGCCCTCAATTTTGTCATTTTCATAACATTTCAGCCATTGTGCCCTCTGGCCATCATCAGTTGTCTTTCATTACCCTCACTTAATCTATAGAGGCATACTGTTTTTATTCCACTGTCCATGTCTAGGGATATCTCATCTTGTTCTTATTTACTATTTCTCAGTTATTGCTTGTTCATTGAATTTAAGTCTGTACTACCCATCCCAGGGATTGAACTCACGTTTACTATGTGACCAAATTCAGTAACCAATGCTTTAATCCACTGAAACCTTAGCTAATACCAAATCTTATACGTACTATGTTTTTTCTTCTACATTTATACCCTATCTTAACATTTATAAATTAGGCACAATAAGAGATTAACAAAAGTAATAAAACAACAATTAGTATATATTTATTTCCAATTATGACAAGCAATCTTTAAGTTGTATAAAAAAAAATCTCACATCAAAATGCTTAAGGCTATATCACGTTGAAACATTGGTTCTCGTATGATCTCTGAAGTTGAGGCTGTAGAAAAATGTAGTAACATCAATGAATAAAATAGTAATAAAGAAAGAATACACTTTTATATATATATATATATATATATTTTATCTTTTATTTATATATATATATTTATATATATATATATTTTTATATATATATATATATACATATATATATACTTTTATATATATATATATTTGTTTTATTTATTGATTTTTATTCTTTTTTCATATATATATATATATATGAAAAAAGAATAAACAGTCTGTAGTAAAAACCAAGTTTTTATTGCTTTTTCTTTAATTGTTTATATGTGAACATACATACTCCTACAATACACAAACATGTAACCTTAAATTCCATAAGGTTATATGATGTTGAAAGACTGGTTCTCATATGATCACCGAAGTTAAGTGATGTTGACCCTGGTCAGTACTTAGATGGGAGACTGCTTCGGAATACCAGCTTGGATGTGCGGTTGATATAATGGATAATGGCTCAGAATTGAAACTCAGTTCTCTGAGACCCAATTCCAGTCGACTTTGTTATATTCACTTAGACACAAATATCTTTGGGAAAGGTACGAATCTGCCTCTTCTTTCCTCAGCTATGAGTTAATTAATAAGACTTATATCATTATTATCCCCAAACAATTTTTACAATCTAAAAATATTTTCTGGCTTTAAATAACCTGCAAAAGTTTGATAAGCCATAAAAAAATAAATCAATGACTCAATCTCACATCAAAAACTGAGGAAGACTAATTTTGAATTTCATTTGAAGGTGTTAGAATCTTTTACATTAAGTCCTACCAGCCATCTCTCTGTAAGCAGAAGGAGTGTTTGGTAGGATTAAAACCTATTTTTTATATAGCATTTGGTATTCATTTTTAGTCATTGTGCACATTTTTTTATCCTTAATTGACCTCTTATGAGTGAGGGTCGATAAACTAGTTTAACTGTTTTGTTTGTTAATCGTGTTGTATTTCAATATTACCATTTTATGGCAATGTTATTTTATTGTGCCTTCTTCTTTGTTATTAATTTTCTTCTAGTTTTAACATGTCAGTTTTTATCACTTTCGTAAAATATTTCAAAAAATAAATTATTCACTGCTTAATTCTTTATTTTTTAAAATTCTTTTCTCACTTTTTAATGTTTTTTAAAAATAAAATTTATTATTTCACCTGAATCAACCTCCAGTTCACCTGGTCAAAAAGTGAGTTCTCCAACCTCTGCTTACTGATCCCCTTGAAAACAATTTCAATAATAATATGTTCAGCTAATGATCATGTTTGGTGAGTTGTGCTTTAACACAGAAAACAAACTTTCTTGTTGTCATTCAACCCAATGGTTGTCAACTGAGGTGAACTGTGATCCAGATTGAAACATGTTTATTTGCTGTTAATGAGTTTCACCCTTTTCCAAACTGTGGGAATTGATATGAATGTAAGAGATCAGCACATGTGCCAACAGTAATTGTAATAATCACAGGCATGTTTAATGTATGAGGATATTCAATGCAAACACCAGAACTAAAAGGACAGACTCGTTGAGTGCTTTCTTTCTTTTTTTTTTCTAAGGGTTTGTCTTTTGCATTATTCAAATTTTTTTTTTTTTTTACTCGAGGTCAAAATAACCTGTTTTCTTCCCTTATCAGATTTAAATTTCACTTAGATACTGTTCTGGACTTTGATATTAGATAGCGAATTATCAGCTTGAAAACTTGTTATTGACATGCTCACGACTACTTTGGATAGTTAAAACCTTACAATGTCATCTCTGTTTTTGTTAGAGGTACCATTAGAAAGACTTGGCTCTTCACTCTCTAACTACCTCTCTATTTATTCTCATCATGAAATAATTATTCTTTATAACCAGAGTAGCCTATATATTTGTTAAAAAAATGAGTAACTTGCCAATATTTCACAGATTAATGCATCAGTTAGATCAACTTTTGTAGAGCAATTGGTGATGGTTAAATGTAATTGGCAGAAATGCTCCATAAACAGAATTTTCAAAGTTTGCAATAAACAATAACAAGAGAAAAAAAAGAAAAGAAAAGGGCAAAAATAATATGAAGCAAGTAAACTATATATGCAAGCCAAAGCAACAGTAATAAGGCAAAAAGTTCACAAACTAAGAATGGAGTTAAAACACAAAAGGGAACACAGACAAATGCTCACAGTGTTCTGGCTTCAAGACATGACAGAACAGAAGTAAGTCTGGTGAAACCAAGAAGTGGCCTATCTTATTGGCAAGGAAAAAAGTCCCAGCATGCATCTGTATATTTTGTTTATAAATTAGGGAGGGGGAAGTACTTTGCAGTCATTCTATATTTTGAACCAATAACTTTAATTAAATAGTTCAATTTTATAAGTCACATTGATTAAACACAATTGCAGTAGGTGATGTGATACCAAAGTTGACTTTTCATTCAGTGCCTATCAGAGAAGCCATGTGCATCAGCAGGTTGACTTGAGAGTTGGCCTCCTAGCCATCAGGTTTAGAGCTGCACTTTCACGAGATATCAGTAGCTGTTAATGACATGTCAACCTAGTTGTGCATAGAATATGCACATGTAGGACAAATGGGATAGTAGGTATATATATATATATATATATATATATATATGCATCCATCTGAGATGGAACAGTCTCTTACATCCTTAGGAGAATATAGAAGCCACGTTCAGAGAAAACCCCAGAACTACACACCCATGTGTTGACAATAATAGTCAGAGTGGACTTAAATAAACAATGATGTTACATATGAGGGATTTGGTCTCATGTTCTTATTACTCTGTGTGATGATAACATTAGACAATAAATCATATGAAAAATTTGTTTAGCTATTTATTGAAAACATTTTGGTTTGAGTAGACAACTTTATAACTGGTATCTATAAAAAATGTATTATAATATAGGGGTTTCAGATAATTTGATTAAATTTCAGTTTTTTAACAAACATGTTGATAGCAAAGAATAATAATTATTTTATGATGGAAATAAATAGGGGAGCAGAATATTAATTTCTTTTTCTCTGAAGATTGTGAAATTCTTGTTAGATTTATTTCAAATTGATTGTAAGTCAGATTCAGTAAAGAATTTTTCTCTAGTTGTTCCTACAATAAAGACATTTATTTCCTGATATGCTTACTGATATATAACACACGCATTTTGTGGAATGTCATGTTATGTATTGCCATTGATGTATATGTGCATTCATTCTATGGTTTTATTTAAGGTAATATAAATGATTACAGAAACATGACAATTTTTGATGTTGTAAAAAAATAAGCATGATACACAAATGCATCACATGGCAAAATGGAAAAAAAGAGAAACAAGGCCAGAGCCATGGATATGCATTAGCAACATTCTTTATAGTTTAATAAATTTTATTTTATTTAACAAAATAGCAATTTTTAATGGAGCCTCTTAACAAAAAGATAGAAGGTATTATGTAAAGGCTCAAATGTTCAAGGTAGCAGTAAACATGTTAAATTTTATATTTTTTGTTTTTTATAGCTTATCAAACTTTAGCAGGTTAAATAAAGGAAGTAAATATTTATCAAAATAAAGCATGATAATGATAATGTGAAAACTAACCATTTCTCCACAGGAAACATTTTGCCATTCATTGACTGAACAGTTCATGTTACTGTCAGTTGAAATTTAACTTTGAACTGACTGTTCGGTTAAACTCTCTTCCTACGGGCTGGAGGAACCCGAAGGAGGCTACGCCGAAGGGCGGAGTCTCCTTCGGGGAGGTAAAACCGGCCCTGAACCCGTTTATACGGGTTCAAATGGGCTATTTTTTGGCTGAGCCTAATGGCTCGGGAATGCCCACGTTAAAAAGGCCTTGTGCCACATGACACCCTCGTGGGGGGGGGTGACTGAATATTGTCAGTTGAAATTTATAAAATCTTTTTCTTAAAACAGTTTTTCATGAAAATTAAACTTCTCAAGTTCACCAACTTTCTAATATTGATGAGACTTTCCTTCCTAAACTTTTCTTTAAAGTAGTGTGGAAAGTCAACATCTTGATTATTTTATTATTTTCCTTCTAGTTACATATGCTATCTATTTTAGTTGTTGTTGCCATTGAAAATCTTCAACTGATGTGGTTTTTGTTACTTCTTGGTAAAACTTTTTGTGATTTAATAGGGTCTGTTGAAAGATTGTCTTCATTAAAACCTAAAGAATTCATTCACCTGAAGCCATTTTTAATCATCGATATGAGAACATAGTTGTACATGGATGATATTTTAGACATTTCTGAATGAGCTAAATGTCATGCAAGACATCCCTATGAGAGTCTAGATCTGATGTGGCCATTTAAAAACATGACTTGAGTTCTCAATATTTTGGTTACGGTGCTGGACAAAAGTATCCTTAGTGTAACCTATCCTGTGTGCAGTTCCTTTATTCCAAATATAGATGACTTGTATTCCAAAGTCTTGGGCGAACATTGTTTTATGAGATTGGATTTGAGTGACACATATTTACAGATTCACAATTGGAGTAAGAGTCACAAGACTTAACTACTATAAACACTCATAAGGGTCTTTTCAGGTACACCAGATTGTGTTTTGGAATTGCCTCTTAACCAAGAAGCTTTTTAAATCAGGCTTGGGTACTTTGAATGATGCATCAGCAAAGCTACATGTCAAACCTAACAGTACCCCTCATTTCATGAAAGCTTGACCAGTACCATTAACACTCCGGGAAAAGGTGGAGGTTTCGTTGTTGTATCTTTCAAAGTGCCCAAGCCTGATTTAAAAAGCTCAGAAAATTCTGACTCCAAGTTGGTTCACATAATTTGGTTACAGGTAGCTGGTAAATTAATTGGTAATCTTTCCAACCAATCCTATCCAAGAAGATTGGATCCTGATCCGAGTGCAGCCAGCACTCTTAAATCATAGGTTCTTCTCTGCTGTTTCACAGTCACATTGGCAACTCCCCTAGGCTAATTAAAATGTCCGGAACACGTAAGCAAGTTTTGTATTAAACCCTTTTTAGACAACACTGCATTAGGTAGTTTCTTGAACTTTTGGTATCAGGGCAGTTTTGTCACATATTATGGTGGATGGAAAGGAAAAACCAATTTACTTTGCCTCAAGAATATTATCAAAAGCAGAACCAAATTATGCACATATAGAACATGAAGGACTAGCAGTAATTTTTGGAGTGAGTGAATTCCATAAATACATTTATGGTCAGGAGGTTACAATCATTACTAATCATAAGCTCTTGCTTGGGCTTTTAAAAGAGGACCATGTGATATTAAACACAGTAAATGCTAGAGTACAGCATTGGCCATTGATACTCTCAAACTACCACCATGATCTTGTAAAAAAACCAGGTTCAAGGATTCCCAATGCAGATGGACTAAATCAGCCACCCGTAGAAGATTATTTTACACTCTCTACTTTGTCTGGAGGAAGTGGTTCTCTCTATGACA